TGAAAAAGAGTTCATATCAGTACATGTCAGACAACATATGCGCCAATACAAAAATATCTATTTGGCCAAAATCAGCTGATAATATTCACCCATAGCAAGTGACATCCCCGGTCGCATTGCTCTGAAACAGCTGTGCCAAACAAGGTAAAGCCTGATAGTGATTGTTAAATAAATGGATAGACCTTCTCCAGGAAACTACATTGTTGTCTGAATTGTGCAGAGCAACATGACCCGAACATGCAACACCTTAAATCTTCAGCCACAGGCACACGGCATGAGATTTTATCAAACGTGTACAATGTTGATAGAAATAAATAGTAAAAATGTTGATGAAGCCAGAAGTTATTTCTGTTTAATTTTCACATTATACCATTAAATTTAACACAGCCATTTCAAAACTAAAATATGAAATGCTACATTTGCTAAAAATAAATAAATGAATAAATAAATTGGCAAGGAGACAATGGCAGTCATGATGGGTGAGCTGCTGCAATCCAACATCTCTCACATACTGTCAAGAGTAATTTGCTGACTCCTGACAGACTAGTCTGATGTTTAGTGTTGACTGGCTTTACTTTGTTGCAGCCTGCTGCCTTTTGCACATGATTCATTAAAGATAACATAATGGAGAGTTGCAGACTAATCAACATGTCGGTCCTGCTGCCTTTAAATGGCAACAAGAATATTATAAATTGAAGCTTCCCACAATGTTTAAAGCCATTGCAGATGACAGGAAAGAAGTTGTACTGTATACTTAATGTTCATGGGATTTTCTGCATTGAGGTTTGTTTGTACATACTGCAACGAGGTTTTAAGTGCCCCCCAAAGAGGTTTGTTTAAACCACTGCCAAAGGGAAATCACCAGTGGCCAAATGACAAGAGTTGGAACCAAACAGCACATATGTATTCTTTTCAACCAGTTTGTTAATTGGGGTTTCAATAATCATGCAAACAAAACATTTTTGTTTATTAAATGGTCATAAAAAGATCAAATCTATCAAATACCTGTCAAATAAGGTGACATAAACTCATTTCCCTTGTATGTGAACCAATCATACTTGCTGTTGTGTGCAGTCATCCCCCAAAAGGCCCATTATGAGCCAATGAAAAACCCTGTTTTTCTGTTTTCACCAAACCCCAAAAGAGAAAGCAAATTGACATTGCACGAGAAACAGATGTAGTGTGGTTCTGAGACATCTATTCTCAGTCTCTGCCCATATTTAATGGTCAGGAAATTACCGAACTGTTGGAGCATTGCTTGTGCTGGTCATTGTGCTGCCCAGAGAAAAGGGCCCTGCGGAAAATAGAGTGTACAACCATGACAGCAGCTCTGTGAGGTGGTGGGCACAGTGGTGCTTTGAGCTAAAAGCTATGATTGCA